AATGCAAATCGATTATATTTAAGGTAAGCCTTCCATTACCAAATGATTAAATATATTTTTAAATATGCATTGGAGAAATCATTTTAAATTTGTTTAAATCTGTATCCAAGACATTGTTAGAAATATAAAAATTTCATTGTTAGAAATATAAACAAATCAGTTTTCCTATTTGTTATGGGATCTTACCCATAGTAATAATAATGGACTATTCCATACTTAATAAATACTGCGCCTCAGGAGTAGGCAAGGGGTCAGTAGTTCAAGTTTTGAACGACTGCACGGTTGTACTCCCTTCCCACGGGCGGGAGGAACCCGAAGGAGGCTACGCCGAAGGGCGGAGTCTCCTTCGGGGAGGTAAAACCGGCCCTGAACCCGTTTATCCGGGTTCAAATGGGCTATTTTTTGGCCGAGCCTAATGGCTCGGGAATGCCCACATTAAAAAGGCCTTGTGCCACATGACACCCTCGTGGGGGGGTGACTGAATATCGTCAGTAGTTCAAGTTTTGAACCGACTGCACGGTTAAACTCTCTTCCACGGGCGGGAGGAACCCGAAGGAGGCTACGCCGAAGGGCGGAGTCTCCTTCGGGGAGGTAAAAAACGGCCCAGAACCCGTTCATACGGGTTCAAATGGGCTATTTTTTGGCCGAGCCTAATGGCTCGGGAATGCCCACGTTAAAAAGGCCTTGTGCCACATGACACCCACGTGGGGGGGTGACTGAATATTGTCAGTAGTTCAAGTGGAATCAGTAGTTCAAGTCGAGTCAAGAGTCGAGTCAGAGGCAGTCCGAAACAGAGTCGCGTTCAGACAATTACTGCAAGACATTGGAATAGTGATAGTGGTCGAGACTACATTGTTCTCTCTACTAAGCCTGATTGTTCATACTAACACTCCTACTTCTCTGTATATATTCCTGTTTGTAATATATCTGTGTTATTCCATATCTGTGTTCGAGTTCTTCTTTATTGGTTCTACCTTGGACTATCACCGTGGTACAAGGAACCGGACCATAACACTATTTGAATTATTGAAGAAGCCCCTTCCAAGTTCTCCGTCTATAAAATATCCGTAGAAATGAACTTACTGTATAGTTAAATATTTGAGCTTAATTTTTTTAAAAAAGTATGAAATAACAATCATAAATATAAATTCAGGTCATTATTTATAGAGCTAAGGGGATACAAAATAAAAAAAAAAAACTTCAAAATTGACAAGGTTTTCCATTTCACTTAAGCAAACGTTAAACGCATGAACTCATTCTTTTTTTCACTAAAATCAAATAGCGTCCTAGATATAGGCTTTTTCTGCCGTCTTTCGTCGCAATCAAAATGGAATGGTTCATGATTTAACGGTGGCAATGTTAGGGCGAAATGCACGTGATAACTTACTAATTAAGGGACAAAGAAGCTGGATTATGATACGGTGTTAGATTCGCTAAAATACAGTGGGAGAAAATAAATATACGCATACCATGAATTTTTCTATTTAACATAGAATTTAAAAAAAAGAATTTTATAATCCATAAAGTATTTATATGCCACATCTCATCATTGTCTTGATACTGTCTTGCCACCCCTAAAGCAGGACGGGGTAAAAGGAGAAACACTGCGCCATTCCTATTACGTGTATACTACTGCAATATGGAAAAAAAAAGAAAAATTTTCTTACAACATTATAATACCTATTTAAAACTTCGTAGCATATTCCTTACCCAATTTAACAGCCATCAGTCTTTTTCTGTAGCTTTTAATCAATGATTTTCAAGATTCCATTGGTACATTACACCATTCTTCTTTGAACATTCTCTTTAGGCCTAGGATGTTTTTTGGAGCTCTCTTTTAACTTGAATTTTTAATAAACACAACAAATTCTCTCTTAGATTCAAGTCTAGAGTTTGTGCTATTCGAGTGTATTGACATGATTTTCAATAAGCTACTTTTTCGTAGATTTGTCCGTATATTTAGTATAATTATCTTCTTGCAAAACGTATTCATTTGGGAGTCCAAGCTTTACTACTGAACAGACAATTTAGAGTCCAAAACATCTTGGTATATTCTTGAATTCATTCTACCATTAGAAGAAGAACACCCAAACTATTATATTGCCACCAACAAATTTCACAGTTTGGATTGTGTTCTTCGGTTCAAAAGCTGTGTCGTCTTTTCTCCAAACATGAGTCACCCGAAAGGTAATTTTCTAAGCGTAGATTAGATGTGACACACAACGAAAATATGGGCACACAGTGAGGATCGAACTCACTTCTCAGTCGCAATTGTTCTAGCAAGACCAGCATGCTAACCAAGTCGAGTTAACCTTTGATTTTGTAAGCGTAGCTTAGATGTAGCACAACGCCAAAAGTACGAGGTGCCCAATGAGGATAGACTTCACTATTCAGTCGTAATTGATCTAACAAGGCAAGATTGCTAACCACTACACCACGTCGGACTGGCCAAGGTTTACTAGAATGTGTTGCTATTGAAAAACGAACGTTACTAAATTCTGAATTTTGCCACTTGTGACTCTTGGAGCTTCTCTTAAAATAAACTGGACTAAACTGATCAACAAATGAAAAAGTCAATTCAAAATTTAAAATAAGCTAATCTTTCAAATAGTCTTCAATTTATACCTTGCAGCCTTCACATCAGTAACTAGGTTCGCCAACTTGACTACATCGTTGAAAGTTTCATGTATGCAATATCGTTCTACAGGAATGTCGGTAATGTTGTTATAAGTCCTCCGGTGCTTAGTTAGCTATTTTCACGGGAATATGAGAGCAAGAAATAAAACAGAGATACTAAAAAAATAATGTAGCTATTAATATTAAACTCTGCAAGAGAGACTGCATATCTTGTAAAAGACCACAATTCCTAACTTGTACCGAAAGTTATTTCGTTGTTTAACCCGTTTGCTTTCCTCTATAAATAATCAACAGTGATACTTATTTATTTTCTCATCTCGTATTCCCATAATTGTGATCGTGAATATCTATGAAGTAAAAATGAATTCGAAGCAGTAATTATTATTTTAATACAATTCAGGTTGTAACAAAGAAATGTACTGCATTCAGACAAGGATGTGTCTTCTCACCACACTTATTCAACCCTACACCCTTGTGCAAATTAATTGAAAGAACCGCTTTAGTTTCCTTTCTTTCAACATACGGTCACTTTTAGACCCACTTGAGTGATAGGGTGTAATCGATTTCTATTTTTTCTTCAGATTAGGTCATTTGCATTGATGTGCAGTAATATGGATCTATTTTCGGGGTGTATGATGAAATGTGTTTGGCCTTGAAAAATACTGCGTCGTCCGTGATTGCATCAGATTTTTATCACACCCAGACACTATTGTCTCGATTGTCGATTAGTTATCCTACGGCCATTGTCTGTGATATACATTACTCCAAGGAAGCGTGCGAAAATTGTAATGCTTCACGAACACACTGGCATGCCTTACCATTGAGCAAATAACTCTCCTGATTTAAATCCAGTCGAGAATCTATGGTCATTATGCAAGAAACGACTTCATGGAATGGATTGACATGTCCACTGGGTCATGTTTCATTGGGAAATACCAAAAAAAGTAAATAATAACGGAATTATTCGTTTTGCTTCAATTAATTTGCACAAGGGCCTATATTGATTCTGAGAGAATTAGAGGTTCTACCACAATTAATTATAATCTTGATATGTGCAGAGGACACCGTGTTGATAGTAGACACAGAAAGGAAGCTTCAAGAAATTCTCCAGAAGATTGTGAAGAAAAGCGGGAAGACAGGACAAATCAACTGCAAGAACGCAGAATGCATGGTTGTCGGCAAATGGAATAAAACTACATGCAAATTACCAATTGGATATATCAAAATCAAATAAGTTCAACAATTTAAATATCTTGGAAGTGTTTTAACGGAGGACAAAGTGTGACACCGAAATCCGAAGGCGCATTGTTGGAGCAAAAGATGCCTTCAAGAAGCTAAAGAAAGAAAAAAAAAACAGGAAAATTTCGTTAGAAACAAAGAAAAGTGTACTGAACTGTTCAGTAATATAAGTCCACCTATATGGCAGTGAATACTGCACAATCTTCTCACAGATGAAGAAGAGATTTTAAGCAACATCAACGTGGTTCTACAGAAGGATGATGAGGATTCCATGGACTGAACATGTGAGCAACGACGAAGTTTTAAAGAAAATGGAAACGAAAAGCATACTTACACTGTCAGAAAAGACAATGGAAATATCTAGAGAACATAATGAGGATAGAAGGCATGGAAAAATTGGTACTCACAGAACAGATTAACTGGGACAAAAGAAAACAACGAATCACCTACCTAGCGAGCTTATGTAAATGAATGGTAAAACAGGGTTTAGGAGAGATAACAAAAAGACAACATTTTAAAGTGTTGCAAAATGCGAGAAAGTGTGTTCATCAAATGTTCTGAAAGGATTTGACAAGAAGAAAAGTTACAAGAAACACGAAAGTTGGTCCTTGGCTTGATATATTGAATTGCTAATCTACTTTTGAAAGATCAGTACTATTAAATTTTGAATTTCAATAATTTTTCTTCTTTTGGTCGTGTCTCTTAGGTACAAGAGTTATCGTGGCTCTCTTCCTATCTTTTGTAGTTCTAAGCAATATTCATTATTATCTCCAAAATATTATTGCAATCTAAAAATATTTATGACTTTAAATAAGCAGCAAAGGGTTGATAAACCTTAAAAAAACAAATCAATAAACCATCTAAACAATTATTTCCTTACCGTTCGTCCCAGTCCATGTTCTGACATCCATTTACACACGGTTGTAGGTTACTCGCTGTTTCCCTTGTGCCCCTCATAGCTTTAGTAAGTTCTTGTGAGTGTCAAATTCTCTTAGCTCTCTTTCCACATCATGTGTGTCATTAATTTTAACCGTCTTTTTTTCTGACCTAAAGCACAAGTGCTCTTTTCTTTTCTAAATTCCTTCTACTTTAAATATAAACTGGCGTAACTGGGCTTAAGCTTTACGAACATATCACGTTGAAACACCTGTTCTCACCTGATCACCTAAGTTAAGCAACATCGAGTCTGGTCAATACCTAGATGGGTTACCACTTGGGAATACTAGCTGCTGTGAGCTTAGTTGTGCGGGTGGTGTAATGAATAACAGTTCGAAATGAGAAATCGGAGAACAGAGATCGAATTCCAGTCGGGTTCATTACATTCTCTTACGCACAAATACTTAGGTTTGTCATGATCAACCGTGTTTCATCCGCCCCCTACCAAGACGCATTAGGCCACCGTGGTAAAGTAACGACCCATTTATGCCGATGAAGATGGAGAAGGTCTACATCCAACAAAAGACCTTCAAAGGCCAAGAAGAAAAGTAAGAAGAAGAACTGCGACTACGAATAAGATGAAAAGTCATTTCAGAATTTAGTAGATCTCTACTTTCTCATATAGTCGAATTTGCTATTTGCGGCCCAATACTACAAACTAAAATAAAAAATGAAACATTAGCATAAAATAAGAGGCCACGAGTAACTCTTGTAACAAGGTCTCCTCTTAGAATTTCAAATTTACACGTGAAAATATTCACTCATGCAAATACATCTAATCTTGTGTGCTGATCATAACATTTAATAGCTTTTGTTAATGAGTGAAGATATTTTATGACTAACCGACAATTATCTTGTCTATTTGCTTAGCAAAAACAAATTTTTACCCCATCTGTTCCCTATTTACAAACCCGTTTTATTTTACAAAAGCTTCACTGCCTACAAAGTGGTGAAGGGGATCTAAGAGATGACGACATGGATAATGGAATCGGTGAACCAAGTTCAGATTCCGGTTGGGATAGTTTGTGTTCACTTTACACTAATAGTGTTAGAAAAGGCATGAATCAACGTCTCCCTTCCGTGCCTATCAGTAATAGCAGTGCAGTTAGAATCCTTGAGCCTTTTAAAGCAATTCATAGAAATACATCGCAATAGTTCAGGTCAGGGATCGTTCCTCAATGCTGGTACCATATAAAACGCAGTATGACATCCAGACAATCTAATGGGTTATGAGAAACGCCTGCGTCATTTATACAAAGCTTAATGTAAACAATCGAATTTCATTGATAAATATTGCCATTATTACAGGAAATATTTTAACGAGTGTTCTTATAATTGTTGCGTTGAGAAACAAATATCTGCTATCATATTTTGCAACATTCTTCAGCTGTATATTACGTCTCTGACAATTTTTTTAGAAACTTTAAATGAAATATTATGCCACATTCCAAATTTCATTTTAATTTAGTAAAAAAAAAACAAACCCAAAAACAAAAAACAAAAAAACAACCAAAAAACACGTGTTCTAATGCGAGACTGATTGATCTGGGAAATGTGTTAATAGGACGGAAAAAGTGAAACCAATATCTGGAGGAGCATTGGAATAGAAAAAGATACACCCGAAAAGCCAAAAGTATTAAGAAACAGGAAAACATTCTTAGAAACAGAGAGAAGAGCCCTTCTATAGCGAAGAACTGATGTTACATGACATTTCATCACTCTTTTCTTTCTTACAAAGTATGTTTTCCCATTTCTTAATACAAATGAATGCTGAACAATCTCCTTACAGATGAAGAGAAGACTTGGGGCAAAAGAAATGTGGTTCTACAATACATATGACTGAGGAAGATCAAAGTATACACCGACTGAAATGCCGAAATTAAAACAACAAAAATAAGGATTATAATTAAAATATTTATTAGAATATGTGTATAATCTTTTGAGATAGGAATCGGCAAACAAGGCTTAGATGATCAAATCCACTCCGCAGACCGGATAGAAGATGTTATACATAAAAATGACGTCTATTTATGTCTTATTGGGTCATATTCAGTTACAGTTAAAAATGATACGCACAAAGTGGGAGCAAAATTACCCCGCAGAAAATAATTTCAACTCTTATTAATAACAGCATCGTTTATTTTCAGGTAAACTGACATCTGACTGTTCAAATAAGATGTCAATAATAACTAGTAGAAACTTGGCATCGTGGTCTTATCAAGTATCTTCAGAAAAAAAGGGTTTAGCCCCCAAGGGTATTCATGCTGACATGGTTGCTACATTATGGCATGATGCTGCAGTTTTATCAACAGTGTAAAGGTGGGCAGCTGAACTGAAGAGAGAAACGGAGAGTCTTGAAGATAACACAAGGTCTGGAATCCTGCAGCTGCTGCCATCGATGAAAACATTGATCGTGTTCACCACGGGCGATTGTCTATAAATCAAATAGCCAATGCTATTAGCATATCACGTGAGAGAGTTGAGAATGTTTGGCACAATGGAGTCAGCATGATGAAGGATTTTGTTCGGTGGGTGCCACATCCTCTGACGCCTGATCAAAAGCGAACCAGGCTGATTACATTACTGGAAAGTCTGACGTTGTTTGTGGCATATCCGGCTGTTTAGCTTAAACATTTCCTAACCCAGGATAAGTGCTGGATCCATCACTTTGAGCCAGAGACAAAGAAATAGTTAATTAAACTCCTCGCTTGCTCTAAAGAAGGACAAAGTAGTTTCATTTGCAGGGAAGGTGATAGCCACAGTTTTTGGGAGAGTGGAGGTGCAAAATTATTGTGTTTACTGACTATCATCAAAATGGCAACACCATCAATGAAGAGAACTATGGAAAACGCCCAGGAAAACTAATGAAAAGGGATTTTGTTTCATCAGGACAATGTTCCAGCACACAAATCCTTGGTGGCAATGACTGTTGCGCAAGGCTGTGGTATTGAACTGTTTGATGACTCTTTACTGTCCTGGTTTGTCCTTCATCTGGCTGTCATCTGTTTCACATAAAAAATCCCTTGGCTGCGAACCAGTATCGCGGTAATTCTGGCGTTATATCTACTGTCGATGTCGTTTTGACCAATAGGATGAGAGCTTTTTCATCGATGGGATCCAAGCACTGTAGTACCGATGGAAGACCACAAGGCAGGCTATATTGATAAATAAACCTCAACTGGTTACATTTCATGAGAGTATCTTGGTCAGCCTATGAACTTTTCAGTCGATCCACATAAATATCTTTTTCCCAACAGATAATCTCAGTATATCCATATACCTCACGTGTGAACCTTTTGAATTGTGGCGCAATGATTAGCAGGCTCGTTACGCTGATCATTTAGCAGGCATAGTAAATTCGAGGCTCACTAGAGTCTCACAAATATGGTCTTGAGACAATCTACAATATGTAAATAATCATTTGGCTGTACTTGTTTCTTTTGGGTAGATGTCACATTTATTTTTTCTAAAGAATTAATGGATTTATAATCCCACACTATGTACGACATATTTAGCGGATACACGTTTTTTTAGTAGACCTCTCTTTTTTAATCAGTATAATTTCCGTCTACCGGTAGGCATTTTTCGAAAGTCTTTGATAAAGGACATGTGACCTTAGGAAAGGTTTGAACCTGTGTCCATCTTGTGTAAAGGAACCGACCGTATAAACCGATATGTTTCTGGACTGTTCAGCCATCAAAGACTTCAGAGAAAGCAAAATTCAATTTTATCTTATGAAGGAATGCACAACTCCTGTTAAAAGTTTTTTTTGAATCACTTTACCTAAAGCAAGGTGAAAATGCCACTAAAACGCAATTCGATACTGTCAGTGAAATGAATGAAAAAAGTTTAGAAAGAACCAGAAACACAATCCTAAACAGGGAAAGAGGGATAAACCGAAAGACCGGAGAGGAGAGTGAACTGAGCGAGAGACGAACCTATCTACTCCTATTGAGGAGAAGAAGAAATAAATAAATAGAGAATAAAATTTAAGAGTTCAGGCGGAGACGTTAGAAGTATAGATTTTAAGTAGACTTTGGAAGGAACCGAAAATCCAAGCCTAAACCTCTACTCTACAGTTCAAAAGATGGGGAAGGGGAGAACCCTATATTTACTGAGTTCATTTTTCTATCCGAAACGCAAAATAATGGATTTATAATTCAACATAATTTCGTATTACAATATATATGTTATATTTAGTAGTTACTCGTGTTTGAGTAGACGTCTGATTTTTCCCGCTCATCCATCCGTATATATAGTCGTTATTAAAGACTTGCGATAAACCCAGACCTGTAGATGAAAGCTATACTGATAAAACAGAGACGTCTATTCAAACACGATTATCGACAAAATATAAACTATATAATAGTAAGATTGTGTGTATGTGTATGTGTGTGTGTGTGTGTGTGAGATAAAATATAGTTTTATGATATACTATATTTCTGGGTAAAAGTGCTCAATTATGGGATAGAGTATATGCAAAAGAGGACACTGAAATCAGCGTCGACAGTCTGTTTATTGCGAAGTGAAACAAACTCTTCAGGCATGGACCAGTGTAAAGTGTAACAAAATTTTTTTAGCGTAATTTAAAACAAACTGTCCCAGATGGAATTTGAAATCGGCAATTTTATTTGCCACACTATTAACACTTAGTACAGTTGCACATCCTGAAGGCTTTTAACGAATGCGTAAGCTTCGTTTAAGTATTTCAAGATGTTCAATTTGAAATTAAAACAGAATAGAATCTATGCTACAAAAATCCTTATCTGAAACTCATGATATTTAGTTTACTTTACTTAGCCATACCTATCAATGCATAATCGTGCTTTCTCAGATTGTCTAGCACTAATATCTTATGTTTCCTAATTCAAACTCCTATTTAGAACGGGAAGATCACGATCTATGTTTCCAGTCATATGAACCATTCGCAAGGTAAGAAAGAAACTAAATGATCTAAATTTAAAATCTAAATGACTAAATTTAGATTTTATATGCACCGAGGTAATTAAAAAAAAAAAAAAAAACATTCATCACAGATTTGCTAACCAATTCTCATTGTTTTAGCATACCTACGGACAATAATGGTATGTCCCCATTCACATAAATACAGTAGTAAATACTGTATGTTGGTCTGCAATCGGAGATAATACGTCTCCAGCTGTGCTGGTTAAACTCTCTGCCGCCGGACAGAGAGGATCCCCAGACGAGGCTATGTCGAAGGGCAGAATCTCGTCTCGGGAAACAGCTACCCGACCCTGTTTTATACGGAGTTTACGGGAATTTTTGGTCGTGGCTACGG